GGAGAGTTGGCTTAAGGTACGCAATTCCTGCTATGCAAAATGTGTGGCTGGAGTCCGCTTACCTTAAGTCGAGCCTTGGCCGTGTTCACAGTGCAGGAGGCTGATGGGAACAAATGTTCCCATCAGCTTCCCTTAGTCCTCGCAAAAGGAGGAGTACTAGACAACGATAGGAGCTGCCCTCAGCATTTGATTTACATGTCTGTACTCAACCTGCTAAATTGAACGCCAGAAGACTAATCTCTGGAGCATCAATTTTCTGGTAAGTATAGAGGTGCCCATAGACCCCTATCCCAGCACTATCATGTACCAAAAACTCAACTCCTTCACCCTTCCTCACTATATTGCTCCTGACTCCAGATACTAACTAACCACCACTACAGTTCTTGGAGCTCCTATGCAGTACAAAAGAGTGTGTCTCCATGAAGCATTATAAACAGGCTCATGTCTTCCACAGGTAAAAATTCATTAATCCAAGATAAAGACTACGCTAAATTGGCCCATCCCCACAATCCTACTATTTCCAAATGCTTTGTACAGGATTTCCAACTTCGTTTTTCCACATTGCATGAAAAGCAATATGGTTAAGCAGGGACATGAGAGTCTGAGTTAAAAATCCAGACTTTGCCACTGTCTTACCTGGTTATTTTGAAGAATAAACATCTTCATGCTCCTGTATGCTCATGAAAGAGAGTTAGCCCAGAGAGTATGCTCTGATGTTTGGCCCTTTGATGCCATTGATAAAAGTCGGAAAAAGATATGCAAATTACGAATCACAACTGGCGTATCTTTTTCCGCTTTTTTTCCCTGAAAGAGGCTTTTCCAAAGTTTGACACATCTACACGGGGCCAAATTTTGGGAAAAAAATCCTCTTTCAGAACACCTGTTATTCCTCTCACCGAGAGGAATACAGGGATGCCGAAAGAACAAGTCCACTTTTTCCAAAACTGTTCAGAAAAAGAAGATGTGTTCCTTGGACACTGCAAAGCTTTTCCAGGATACCACAGGTATCCCAGAAAAGCTCTGCAGTCTAGACATAGCCTGAGATTGCTCCTTTCAAAACAGGACTGCATTAGCATGAACTGGGTATCTTTAAGTTTGCACCAGCAACATCCAAACAGGACAGTTAATGGGCAACAATTCACCCCCTCTAGTCTACACTATGGAGTAGTGAAGCCAAGTCCTTTGTCTCCTTTTTCCTCTAACAAGCTGCTATATTTAGACCAACGTTTTAATCTGGGATCAAATCATTCTCCAGTCAAAAAAGATACTTGAGTTAAGAGACTAATCTACCCCTGCACCATACCAGTCTAACTCCTAGACAGCGCCTTGTGGATGACAGAAGTTTACCTCGCCAAGAGGCAATTGGAGGAGCGCCTATACCAACTTCTCCCATCATGTAGGTATCACCGTGACTAAATGCTAGAGCCAGGCATCAAGCTAGCTGTGCCACCACAGCCCCATAAAATGTAGACCTGCCCTAAGGCGCTTTTGAAAACAAGTACTATTTTCAAAAGTTAACACAAGCATTTAGGAGCCTAAACCCCATTGACTGTCAAGAAAACAGACTTTAGTGATTAAATCACTCTGGAAAGCAGAACTCATGCCCCTCAGTAACAAAAGGAATTTAGGTGATTTTGAAAATGTTATTCTTTTCTCATTCTCTCCTTTCAGTGCCTCATTTCTTCTGTTCTACCCTTTCTTTCCAGCTTTCTTGCTCTCCCCCTAGGTTCACTCTTACCTCCATATGATCTCTTTTACTCCTCTCAGTCTCCTGATCCCAGGCCTGGTCTTAGGGCAAGGCAGTTGCTTTGGGGCCCGAGCCTTCAGGGCCCCACACTGCCTGGCACCTGCCCGCCTGGCTGCTCGCTCACTCGCTGGCTCCTGGCTGGGAGCTATCCAGCCACGTGATGCAGCCAACCACAACGTGCCACAAACACTTTGGCCTGGCCTGCCTGATATCCCTCTCGCTCTCCAGCTTCCTCTACACTACCAGGTTATTTCGAAATAGTTAATTTGGGAATTATTTCAAAATAACTTATTTTGAAATAACTCCTGCTTGTGAAGAGGAATAAACTTATTATTTCGAAATAAGCCCATTAATGGGCTTGGTAGTGTGGTTGTTCACCTTGTTATTTTGAAATATGGGGAGTTATTTTGAAATATCTCCCAGGTGTAGACATGCACGCTGTTACTAAGTTATAACTCCATCAATATTCCACAACTTTTTAAAAGTTCAATTCAAATTAAGAGGATCAAAGCATTTGACTAATTATACATTGTTTTGTGCAGAATCATAGATACATGCACCCACTTCTGAAAGGTCACCTAAAAAGAATGGTTTTTATCTCCATTAGCATTAGAGACTAATTACATGTACCCTGTTGTGGCTTATTACCTCAGCTCAGCTGGTACTGTAACATGATTAAATTACAGCAATTTTGCATCCAAAGAAATTATCTGGAGTCTCTTCTTCATCTATTGCGCACACGTAGATTATTTTAGCGGATGTTCATGTTATAATATACATCATGAAACTCTCCAATACTTAAGCTTAATGACTGCCATGAACTATTCATTACATGCCATTAGACTGTGAGGAAAAAATCCACACCATCCATTTTTCAGGGGTTTTGGTGTAGTAATATGAATAGAGGGTATATTCTGAGGACAGCATGCCTCTCAAACAGCTCTTCACTTATTCCTCCTACACCCTCTTTCTTGGATCATTATTTTTTAGATCGGATATTAAATCCCACAACATTTAATCTAAAATAAACTGGAGGCAAATAAGTTCAACTGATCTCCAGAAAGGAAACAAAAACTGAAGAGGATTGCATTGGGAGGCTTGTATTATAGCTGGTTACAGGTGAAGGGACAAACCGTTCACCTCTGCAAGTAGATTAAGGTATACATCTAAGAATAATCAGTGTTTATTTGATTCAACCTGGCATATATTACATAGGGAACTGCTTCTTTCAGAAAAATTCGTAATAGGTTTTGTTTTATTGTTGGACCTAAAGGTGTGGCTCATCTCTGAAAAGTGAGTAAAAATGGCACTAAAAAGGATTGCAGTTTAGTGTGTCAATTATTTTCAGAGTTCAGGTTTACAAGAAAAAAATGTCTTTTGTTTTGAGGATTTTTTTTTTAAGCTGCCAGCACTACAAAACTCAGGCTGCAATCTGAGAGGAAACCTGGGTCTTTCTGCTTCACCACCAGTTATGACCATGCCAAGCAAATTTGGCTCTGGACAATACCTGTATATCCAGTCTTCCATCACTTATACCTGTGCAACCACACGGTCTTCCAATCTGCCTCTCTTTGGGATCCCATGCTGTGCCACTTCAACCCAAAATCATGGTAAAGTAGCTTAACTAGAGACAGAGAATCACCTCCATGCACCAGTTGTGTTTCTTAAAATGTTTTTATTACATCCAATTTCAATGTACCTTAGATCCATCAGCTAAAAAGCTTCCTAGGAGTAAAAGTCTGCCATATATGATCTTTAACCACTTATTTGCTTTCATCTCATTGGTTGCACAAACAGAACAATACTGTCTGGTGATGCCTATCAACCTACCTCTGAGCACAAAATGAAAAGTTCAATCTACACAAAAGATTCCTCCAACAGACCCAGACTGATAACACTTCCAAAAGTTCAGCTAAATCAATTGAACGGCCAGCAAATGTAATATTGTGCGGCTTTTCCAGGAATATAAATTCGCATTAGACAAAGCTCTCTATTCAACTGCTGTGCTATTTTCAGAAATCCAATTTGTCTTCGCAGATGGTAGGTGTTCCTCTTGCTATGCTGCTAGGCCTGAGCGCCTGCTCTTTCAGTGAACTATCTGTTCATCATATTCTTATTACACTGCAGAGACCTGGCATTCTACATATCAATAATCATTAAAGGGCAAGAAATGTTTTTTGCAAATTGTTATTACAGCAAAATAAGGCAGCTGTGAAGTGGAAGAAAGGGCAAGTTATGACTCATCTTCTTTAAAGGCACAGCAACAGAAAGTCTGGAATAAGTTACAATTTAACGTACGCATCGCATTTGGCAGATGAAAATAAATCTAAGTGCTACATATGGTAATGAATGATAGAGAATTTCCCAGACTGTTGTTTTAGGACCAGACATGGTCTTCTTTGCACTTACTGGCAGTCCAGAAAGAATTGACTGATCATGAGGTGTTGATTCCTCTTCCTTATATACAACTGTTAAGTTGCAACTTCAAATACATTAAAACATTTCTTTATGTTACTTTTCTAGGTAGGCAATTGCTGCTGCTGCCGGCACCAATACCACAGAGATCTTACACAATTATAAGAAAAAGGAAAGGTTGCCCTCAGTTTTCAGTCTGAAGGCTATCAGTTCATGCAACAACTTCTGCATGAAAGTGTGGTAAACAGTTCAAAGAGTTTTTGACTTCCTGGATTGACCTGTATGTTTATCACTGCACTCTGATGGATGAAATCAACAGGAAAAGAGCTCTGCTTTCTAGCTGAGCGCAGCTGAGAAAGTGGTGTAGGTTACAAGCTGATAACTGATCAGTTAAATGTGGGATCTAACAAGACCCCTTTGGGTACATCTACTCAGCAGCATTATTTTGGAATAACTGACAATATTCTGAAATAACAAAGAGCGTATCTAGACTGCAAGCTAATACTTTGAAATAAGGGCAAGCTGGAGGTCTTCTTACTCTGACTCCTGTAACCCTTATTTCACAAGGCATAAGGGAAGTCGGAGGAAGAGTGCTCTACCTCGGACTTCCTGCTGTGTATATAGCGCCAAAAGCCAAAGTAATCTATTTTGACTTCCAGCTACGCAATTTACGTAGCTCAAGTTGCGTAGCTTAAATTCGACTTTAGCCCTGCTGTGTAGATGTGCCCTCAGTGTATGAACATCAAACAAAAGGCAGACACACATCACGTGTGCTGACTGAATTTCTGCCATCTCTCTTACCACTACATCTGACACAACAACATCACCTCAGTCTTACCTGCTTCCCTCCTATTGAGGGTATCTGGCTTGAAGGCTGCTCTTAGTCAGGCCATCCCTCTAACTTCCTGGCCAGAAATAAGGCTGGGCAAGTCCACATGCAGGGGAATGTAGCGTGTTTCTCATTTCCTTTTCCAAACAAACAATCTCCCTCTGCAGGTTGGCATCTGAGTCTCATGCTCTCTCACACATTTCACTGTTTCACGTACTTGACAAAAAAGGGAAAAGTCATCTGCAAGGTCTGACCTAGAGGGTATGTCTACACTGCAACACTATTTCAAAATAACTAGCGCTATTCTGAAATAACTTAGTCCGCATCTGCACAGCAGGCAGTTATTTCGAAATAACTAGTGTCAAAGTACTGTCAAGCTAGAGGACTTCTTACCCCAACTCCTGTAACCCTCATTGTATGAGGAGCAAGGGAAGTCAGAGGAAGGCTACATCTACACTGCAGGCTTCTTGCGCAACAAGATCTTGCACAAGAGTTCTTGCAAAAAGTTCTTGCACAAGAGTGCATCCACACTGCCATGTGATTTTGCGCAAGAACGTCCATGGCAGCGTGGACACTCTCTTGCACAAGAAACCCCTGTTACCCATCCCCACATGCCTTTTTGTGCAAGAGCTCTTGCGCAAAAAGGCTTATTCCTCGTAGAAAAAGGAATAACTCTTGCGCAAAAAGCCCCGTGTTCTTACGATTTACTGTACTTTTTCTTGCGCAAGAAAGCGCTTGTAGTGTGGACACGCTGTAAGTTTTTGCTGTTTCTGCACAAAAACTCTGCAGTGTAGACGTAGCCAAAGAGGGCTCTGTTTTGAAATAAGTGCTGTGTAGATGCTCCCTATTTCAAAATAAGATACGCAATTGACATTGCTCAATTTGCATAGCTTATTTCAAGTTAAGCCTTGCAGAGTAGACACACCCAGAGTGCTCCAAAACAATGGCCTGTAAGAGGGTTCACCTGGGCCCCTGGCACTGAGGCCTCCCCAGTTTCTGACTACAGGTAGCTTAAAAGAAAATATAAAATATGATTGTTAACAAACAAATATGATCGTTAAACAAAAAAATGTATCAAAGCAAAGCTAGTACTCTGAGAAGTTGAGGAAGAGACTGGAATTTCTAAGACACAAAACTAAGGGAGGGAGAGAATCAATAGGAGAGCATTCTACCAGTATTACCTCTGAGCTTTGTACTGTAGTGACAAAGATTGTATCATAAAAGATTCAGAAGTAGAACATTCAGCATCACATTCATCAGATGAAGAAGTGATAGGAACAGAAATTTGAAAAGAACCCATCTGCTAATAAGGTCGGAGTCCAGAGAGTAAGATTCCACTAGGACCAAGTCATATTATATCTGATGGCCCAAAACCACCCCAGCTAAGATCTTGTTCTTGTATTTTATTTGAGGATAAGCAAAGAAAAGTTTCAGAACAGGTCAGTTTGGTTTATATTCATGGATCAAATATAGTGAAAGAATTAATGTATCTCATAGCTTCCAATGCAGATCTTTTCAACATCCATTCCTGTAGAAAATATGTGTTAGAGAATGGCTTTAAACAAACCAGAGGGAGGGAAAGCTATGGCGAAGGATGCAGAATTCTGACAGCACAAAAACAGAATCTCAAGGGATGTCAAGTAGTCTGGGCGTCATTCAGGAATATTCACTCAGAAGATGACATTCTTTCAGTTCAGCTTCAAAATAAGTGATGCATATTTTGCTTTAGTGCAAGAGAACCACATGTAGACTGAAGTTATGATAGATGGCCTACAGCTCGCAGTTCGAGGGATTGCACAAAGATGAAAGATGAGAATGAAAGCAGTGATGACAGAACCGCCTGACTAATAGCCAAAGACAACAACATGCGAAAAGAAAACAATGTGGACCACACAATGCAAAATACACCCATTCATCAATATGAAATCATTCACATTAAGTCAGACATGGTACTTGCCAGCATAAGCCAAGAAGTGAAAGAGGATAATGTGATAATGTTCTCGTTATAACTGTTGACAAAACTAAACACATTAGCAAAATAGAACAAGTATCAGTTATGTTGAGATGTTTGGATGACACCGTTTGCAAAAAATTTCTTGGTTTCCATCCTGGCAAGTCACTTGATGCAAAATCTCTCCTTCCATATGTGAAGAACCCAGTGCCCTAGTGTGTTACTTACAATTCTGTATAGATTGCCCAGGTCTATGATGGTGCCAATGCTATGAATAGAGCCCTATCAAATTCAAAGTCTATTCTGTCAATTTCATGGCCAAAGAATTTCAACATTTGTCAGTTTTTACAACTGCAGATGTTTGCATCTGAACTTTTCTGGTGTTCTAACTGTGGGGATACTGATCTAAAATAGGATCGGGGAAGGGAGCAATTTGCAAAAGGCTAGAGGAAGTTCCTGGGAGGTGAAGGCATCGAATTTGTGGGCCCCTGAGAAAAACAGTTGCCTCCACCCTGGAAGAAGATGCTAGTCAGCCTGAATCTCAGCAGGTGCCATGGGGGAAGATGCCCTGAGCCCCAGCTGGAGCCACAGAGGCTGGAAGCCTCAAACTCTGTATCCCAGTCCAAGACAGGAGTGGGCAGAAACCCAGAACCTGGGCTGCCTTGGCAACAACCCTGAGCCCTGGTAAGAGCTGCTGGAGGCGGAAGCTCCAAGTTCTGTGTTGCGAGTTGCAGTGGAAGCCAACGGGAAGGGGAGCCTGGGAGATGGGAGTTTAGCTCTCAGGGTGCTCCAGTGTAGAAGTAAAGGTGTCCCACCCTCATTTTTGCACTGCCTCTCAAGGTGAGTCTGCTTTCTGCAGCAAGAGTGGCCATGTATGGGAAGGACACTCTGGTTCCTCTTCAGTTTATCCAAACGAGCAGCTGAGAGCCCCAGGCTTCCAACAGCACAAGAAGATTAGTTTTCATGGGGAAGGGCAGAATATATGGTCCGTAACATGTTTTTCATGGTGTGACAGGGCGCCTGCCCTGCACTGGGCCTTTAAGCCCAAGGCTCAGGTCTTGAGCCTTAGGGTGGCTGGAAGAACCCAGCTGAAGCGGTTAGGCTAATGAGAGCCCAGCTGTCAGAGATCCCAAGAAGCCCGGGTGGCTAGGCGAGCCCAGCTGTCAGCTATAAAGGGAGGAGCACAGTTTGCTAAGGGGGAGAGCCAGTGGAGGGCTGCTGGGAGAGGAAGCAGGAGCTCCTTGGAGGGAGACAAGCTGGGGATGACCAGCAAAGGCTGGAGGAGGGCCAGCCAAGACTTCCCCTGGCTAGGGGCTGGAGACAAAGCCCCTGGTTTGCGAGCCGAGCCTGAGGCCGACTAGGTAAGCAGAGCTGGTGAGACAAATGCCTATGATGAGCAACCCATACAGACTGTAACTTGCCCTGAGAGGGGCTATATGAGGACAGTCAGGGGGCACTGAGGCACAGTGGGGGTGTGCACCCCCTGACACATGGCCATGAAATTGATAATGGTATAAGAAGCTCTCTTACTGAAGGAAGTACTTCAAGCATTGTACATTTATTGGCTCATTTAAATGGTCATTGATCTATGCAAAAGGAAAGAAACACCCATTGATTTTTTTCCCACTGTCCCACAGAAAATTGTACATTTTTTCTCTCTGTAGCAGATAGGCATGCTAAATTCAGTCATTCAAAAGAAAGTACAGCCCCAAAACAATATCTTGAAATTGAAGAAGCTCTGACACTTGATGGCCATGCCAAGTTTCTGCTTAAAATGCTATGAAAAAAAGGCAGGTTCATTCATTCTTATGACACTAACTGTACCATCTTGAGATATGTCAAGATCTGATGGAGTACAATGGATGGATAAGACTTTAGCTGAGTATTAAACTTTGAACATGCAGATAAGGTCAATAAAGTCACAAAAATTCTTCAACTGCTTAAAGTTATCTAACGACATGCAAGCAGTTGAGTGAGGCATGTCTCAAGCATGCTTATCTGTGGATGCCCTCATCAATGAATTTCTGAACATGAGTGATTAGGAAGAGGCATTTGATAAAATAAGGAGTAAGTCAGTATCATAGCTTCCAAGGAGATTTGAAGCCAAATGAAGTATGTTGAAAACATAGTAGTGTATGAGAGTTTCCTAAAAAGGCCAGAAATACATTTTGACTGACGTGTCAAGTGAAGAACAGCCCATTTGAGATAAAGACAATCATGTCAGGAAATGTGCCTTTTCTCCAGTGCTTGATCAAGTAACTGGAGAACTTTGAAAAAGGATTTCTGAAAATATATCCGTTCTTGTTGCTGTCAATTCCCTTAGCCCACCTATGAGAACTTCCATTACTTTCTAAAATTAAAATCACTTGCAGAATATTATGCATGTGATACAGTCCAGTGTTTCTCAACCAGTGGTACGAGTACCCATAAGGGTACTTGAAAGAAGTCTGGGGGGTAAGTCAAGACAACTGAAATTTGGAGAAAACTGAATTTTTGTTTAAGTTTTACAGTACTTTATTATTTTTGTAATTTTTACACCCCAAAATTTCATCACCCGCCTGGCTATGATTAAGTTGTTTAAAAAAATGTGTTGCAATGGTAGAAAAAAATGTCTGAAAACCGTGGATACTCAGGATATTATAATTTTTTAAGGAGGTACTTATAATTTTTTAATTTTGGAAAAAGGGGTACTTTATGTAAAAATGGTTGAGAAACACTGATGTAGACTGTGTGGAGATGGAGGTAAAACTCTTGCCACGAGTAATTGAATGGTATGAAGAAGAGCAGAAGTCCAAATCTATTTTTTTTAATTAATCCAAACATGCCTTCCACAAACTGCATATGTGCTATGTGATTAGTATGTGTACTCCTCCATGAAGTGCTGTCAAAGTGTGAAAGAACACTTTCATGCCTTCAACAGGTGAAATATTACCCAGACTATATGACAAGTGGCCAAGAAACTTGGCTCTCATGGATACTAAATTTTTTTTGTCAGTCTCTTGAGCTAGCGATAGCTGTCAACAGATTTGCTGCTGTACACAACAGCAGATGTAGCCAGTTTCAATGAAGGTAAACATATTGTTACCAACATCATTTGTTCCCATTCTAAAAGTAGGTGTAGTAAAATCCTTGCTGCCCTAACAATGGTCTTTGCCAATCCTTTGTGCTCCCTTCCTCTCCTCCTCCACCCCCCAAAAATATGTTAGCATTGTGTAATACATGAAGGTTACAGAAATATCTGAAGTCTGGGACATACATTCTAGGTCACCAAAGAATGTCATGTGAGGTCCCCAAAAAAAGCCAGTATTGCACGTGCTATCAATAACATTGTGCAAGACGTATTGGTGTGGCTAGTGTCAGGAGTTTTTTTTATAAACTATGTTCTGAAAGTCTGTCTGTAGGCTGGTCACCAGCAAAGGTGAAAAACGAGTTCTGTCAGACATATCAGTTTGTGTGTCAGTTGAGTACGGTCTCATGCACATCGGTCTCCTATCACTGGTGTGAAATGAATGCAAATGAAGGAAACACTTAAGAAAAAAAAATCAAGAGAAAAATAGTGGGCGAAGAGCACCTTACCCTGAAGTGCACTTCAGAGGACTGCTCTATTATATTTGGGAAACATCCATCACCTAGGTAGTAAAGCGGCAGCAAATGTGATTCATGACAAGGGGCTCTCAATGAGGCTTGGCTGAAAATGCTGGAGAGAACTTTGGCCAAGATAAAATTTCTTTAGACAGGTGGTTAACTGGTAAGTCCAGGTTCATCTCTAGAAAGCATATGATGATTTTATTGTACATGTAATTTTTTTTTACTATTCCTCCAGTCACTTGAATCTTTCTTCTCTCATTAAAAATATCAAAGAACAAGCAGCTAATTGCTTAATACTAAAGCACTCAGAAATAATGAGAACACTTTATAGGGACTATATTTGACCAATAGGTTAACTTCTTTAGGCAGGAAGTTAACTCAAAGTTCTCTGGAGTGTTTTCAACCAAGCCTGTCAGGAAGTAAATGTGCTTTTTCTGTACAATATTGATAGGCAGACCCCAACCCCCTGAAAACTCAGAACTTTACCTGAAATATCCAGCCCCAGTCAAAGGAACAGTGGCTATACCAGCTAGTAAGATTTTGTTTTGTATGGAGCCATTTTCTCAGATTCTTACTCACTGTCACTGGAATCTTTGTTCTTTGATTGTTCAATACATTCAGTGCTCAGGGAACAATGGGCTTGATGATTCTGAGAGAGTGTTCTGTGGATAAGGGGCTGGACACTGCAGGGAACACTCCAAGTATTCAAGGGGTTGATGTGGACCTGTCACTCGCTACCTGTAGAGGCCTACAAAGGCCTCATCTAGCACAACTCCAGTCAGAACAAAATTTAATTTAACACTATGCTCATTATAACATGGGTGTTTACACATTTTCTAGTGGGATGCTTTTTAGAAGTCCAGACAAGGGGGTACAGTCTCATACAGCCTTTCAATTCTGCCATCCCCATATACTCAAAAATACATCAGTCTCCAAAAAGTCCAGAGGTTGGCTTAAAAGTTGAGGTTTAAACTTTAATACACACACACACACACACACACACACACACACACACACACACACTTACTTTGAGGTCTTTACCTTCTAGTTTGTGCCTTTGCCTGACCTTGGGTCACATTGCCAAGCTTTTCTCTCTAACCACGAGGGCTAGAAAATATCCTTTAAAAAAATGAGCACGGATATTCTCACATCACATGATTTCAGGAGTTGGAGCAGGAATACAAGTCACCAAATAATGCAAGACTTGTGATAAAAATCATACAAGTTGGCAAAACTAATCTATATATGTAAGGGCTTCAGACCTGTTAAAGTAAATAGTTGGTTTGCTTGCTGAGTTCTTGCCAAAATGTTATCTGTGGAATGTCTCCAGATTTAGCTAAAAACGTACATATAGGACCCTATAGTAACTGAACATGTGTCCTCCATACCAAAGAAAAGAAATCCTCTACTGCCCCAATTGTGGGCTGAGGATAGGGTTGCCAGGTGTCCCGTATTGAACTGGACAGCCTGGTATTTGCACCTTCCGTTTGGTAAAAAACATTCAGAAGATTGTGTGTGTTTTTTCCCAGCTCTGGTGTCCGATGGAAGGGACACTGGTGCAGCTGGCTGGGGAGGAGGGTGGGGAGGAGGGAAAGTAAAGCCCCGATCAGTTGGGTTTTTTGGGTTCTTTTGCTTTCAACTTTTGCTGGGCTCTTTTTTTTTGGCTTAACAGAATTTTTTCCCTTTTTTGGAGGGTTAGTATTTTTTTTAAACCATCAGGCAACCCTAGCTGAGGAGTAGAGGACTAGACTGCTAATGAGCTTCAAACATTGTGCAGCTGGGAACCTAAAAGCTGCGGAGACCATGGCTGAACAAGGAGCCTTAGGAGACAGGGTTCCCAGCTCCACAGCAGAGAGCCTGGAAAGCTTGGGAGCAAGCCCCAGCTCAAACTAGAGCTCTCAAGCTTTCAGTCTCCCCGTCGCAGAGCAGAGCTGAGCCCCAGTCAAAGCTGGGACTCCCAAGGGTCCCCTGCAGCCCACCAACTGCGCTAGCAACACGCCAGGCAGGTTTCCGTTGGAGCCCTGCCTGCAGCCTATCAAACCAGATATATGGCTGCAAAACATTTCAGTTTGACACATCTGTATTTTTCAATAAAACAGGGCTGTGTTGCAGAATTCCAGACCAGCTCTACTCGGGAGTAACCCAGGCTGCCGATAAGAGAAGGCCAGAAAAAAATATTTAATGTGGCAGTGAAATTACATGGGCGTCTTGTGTTCCATGATGTTGGGTCCCCGTTTCCTCATGGAATAGCAAGCTGCATGGGGTTTCCAGGACACAACTCCTTTCCCCTTCAGGCAGCTGCAGGCTCCTCTGCCTTCAGAAGAAATGTAGTTAGCTCCTCTGCACCAGATATATATTTAGGTTATCATGTGTCTTTTTTCCCCCATCCCCTGCGGGTTATTTTCTTTTGGAAGGGAACATTTAGCCTTCCTGTGCTAAAATGTGAACTATCAGCAACTATGAGTTGTAACATTATATTCCTGGAGATCAGAATGAAAAAAATCATTGAATTTCTCTAATCACCTCTAAGGATTATTCCTGAAGGCCTTGAATGTGAATGTTAAGGAAACTGACTTGCACTAACACACACCAAACCGTGACAAGCCAAGTGCAACAGAAATTTTATGCAGATGGTGTCACGTTCATGCCAGACAAACTTTTTAGTTTTACTATCCAGCAGAACCACTAAACTTTGGGACCCAGATATGCTTCCAAGATATCTAACTGGAGAGATCTACCTTTCAACTGCCAATGCGGGTCTCAAATATGCTTATTCTCCTCACGTAGCACCAGTTGTAAGAGGAACAGGGAAAGATCAAAAGGAAAAGAAACTAGAAGAGAAAAGATGGAGTATGAAATAGTGCTGGTAAAGGACAAGCGGCAATTCATGATCAAAGGAATGTATCTGGCCCCAACCAGTACAAAAATACAAAGTACTTTTCCCTTTCCTCAAATTTTCTGCTTGCCCTCAAGTCAAACAATCCTTTAAAGTCGGGGGAGGGCGGGGGAGGAGAGGAAGTGTCATATTGGGCTCATTTAAAAATCGAATAAAATAGTCATAGAAGAGGCCTATTCCAGACACTAGGCACCTTGCCATCCACCCAATATGCAATTCATAATAAACCCACCCAGCAGCAGCTCCTGCCCCACTCAATCAGCAAAGAGTTACAAAATGAGCTCTCCAGAACTTCAAATCCTCCAGCCCTGCCCCAGCTATTTCAGCTCTCCTCATAGAGCTGTCCAAAACTATGAGCTTACATTCAGGGTATGCTGCGTCGTATTTGGATGGAAAGTAAATTCCAAGCTCATGCTGCCCTCTAGGAAAAAACCCTCCCAGCAGCACCCACTTGTGTAAGCAGAGGAAGCTGGGGTGCCCCCAAGGAACACAAGTGCAGCAGTAAGGTGGGATGGTCCCAGACCAAGAGCCAAAATGTGTCCAGTTTTGACTGTTGATCGTATGGCACCAGTGCTGCCTCATTAGCTTTCGTAGACATGTCCAGATTATGAGGTGATTCTCTAATGGATGTCAGGAAGGAAAAGTACAACCGGGGCTTGCCACATCCCTTCCACTACTCCGGGTGGGAAGGAGTGGATCTGTAGTCAGAATGGAGCTGCAAGTGCAGGCACATGATGCAGTGAAGCTAGCTCACTCTGCCATGGCAAAATTGGCTCTATGGGGAACAAACCAACCTTGCCAGTCACGTGGAGCAGATTCTATGGACTCTTTAACCCGGAAGATCTCCAGCCAGGTTTGTCTGCCGTGGTACATCCACAGTGACAGATGGGTTGAGATTTTCAAAACTGGCATTTAGCCACCCTTCCCTCATTCATTTCAATGGGCATCATGTGTCTAAATCTTCTATTCAGCTTGAAAAAAAAACCCACCTCAGCTGCATGGTCTTTTATTTCCCCCTTATTAATAACCATCCCACTCTGTCAGTGTAGCTTCACAGTGTTATACACGAAGGGCTTGACTTTGATCAAGGTACAACTTAACATTCGAGGTGTGGAGATGCAGCTCACAGCAGGAGCTCCAGGGACCATGCCAGTGGAAGAGAAGAGCCAGAACACACCTGCGGTGCATGAAGGGCTCCTCTCTCCTCCACACTAACCAACTGGTCCCAACTCTCCTGACCCCTTAGTAACTTCTATCAGCAGCACTAGTCAGACAGAATCTTTGCACTCCCTAAGCACAGGGATTTCCATTGTGCTGATCCACTACACTGAAGACACAAAAGGCAGTGAGTATTTGAATCATTGTGTCTCCTTTTGCACACCTATGAGCACAGTCTGGCCCCCCCAAAATAAAGCAATTGACATAGTATCCAGTCAGAGGTAGTCAGAAAACAATTGCTTTAAACCTAATCTTAAAGGCAGCATGATCCAGTAAACGGGGCAGTGGGCCAGGATGCAGAAGATGCATTCCTCAGACTACCAATGAACTGGTGGATAGAGCTGGCTGGAAACTAATTTCTATCCCATGGGAAATTCCCGGACATCAAAAGTTTTTTGTGTTCCAGTTAGGAACACAAGTCTAACCAAAAATTCTCACTGAATAGAAATTCCAACACATTTTAATTTGGAAACATCAAAATGTTTCATTTCAATAATGTCAAAACATAATAATATTTAATTAATCAAGAGAGAGAGTCAAAACAATTTCAGTACGTTTCCTTTGAAAGTTGTGTCAAAAATCAACGCATTCCTGTGAAGTATTGCAGCTTAGTCCAAACCACATTTTTTGCGGAAAACTGAACTGTTCAGTCAAATTTTTCTACAGGCTCTATTGAGTGCAGGACCTTCAGCAATTCCCCTTGGGTATGTCTGGCATTGTCTCAGGGCCATTAGTCTTTGGACTAAAAATAGCACTGGAAAGGTTCTGGCTTGGGCTTGAGACTAAGCTCTGGGATTTTCCACCCTTATAGGGTCCTGACCTGAATGACTCACCAGGCTTGGGTTCTAGAACTGAAAAATCATGGCGTAGGCAAAGTCAGATGATCTGAGCCAGCCATGGCTTTTTTTATCCTTGCATAGACATCCCCTGAGACGTAGCATCATGGGGTTCTCTGCCAAGAAACTTTGCCTCTCTCCTCTCCTAATCTTTACACAGCAAACATTTGGGACAGGAACCATTAGCTCCAACTGTGTGTTTGTATTAGGCCTAGCACAATGGGACCCAGATCTCACCTGTAGATTCTAGGGGCGACAGTGATACAAATCATTGTAAAATATTTTTCATTGAATTAATGACACTTTTTAATCCATCATTGTTCAACTAATGAGTAATACACAATCTTAAATGGCTGCCTGGCCTAATAAATGGCCATGTTACTGCAACTGTAGATGGGCAAGCACACAGTAATATGCTGCTACACTGGAGAATAATTGTGTGTTTACAGCTGCAGAAAGAAGTGGAAGTGAGAATAGCAAAATTTGCATAATCCTGAAACATCATTCAAGACAGCAGTTGGGAAAAAGAAGGGGGTTTTGTTTGGCTTTGGATTTCAACAGGATCTATTTTGGATTTGGCAGCTGGTTGGCAGTAGGTTTTCTGAGGGAGTTAGCTGGAACGCATTGTGAGAGTGTGTGACAGAAGCAGCTGCCTGTGCA